TATACCTGCCTCTGGAGATTTCCATTACTTGCATCTGAAGAAGTGAGGTTCTTACCCACGAAAGCTTATGCTCCCAGTACTTCTGTTAGTCTCAAAGGTGCCACAGGACCCTCTGTTGCTTTTTACAGATTCAGACTAACACGGCTACCCCTCTGATAATTGAGACACGTACAAGTCTTTGGACTGTGCTTAGGCTAATGAATCCTAGTGCGGCCTCCGGGTTCTACTATCCAAGGACTATTAAATAAAATAGAGCTGTATTTAATTGATGTAACTGTATGTGAATTGTGACGTGAGACCTGACTAGCACTCATTTACTCTAAGAAATGCGCCGCTGACTTTGCTGTGAAAACCTTTCTTGTGTTTTGGGAACAATTATACATCCAAGATGGGGGTGCATCTAGGGGAATTTCATCAAATCAGAACTGGTTTATCCCTATATGTGCGCTCAGTTTTACAACTGGGATTCACCCTTGCCTTGTTGCCCTCCAGCACAGGAGAGCGTCTCTGATCTTTGGGGGCATTTTCCTCCTCTCCTACCCCCCAGGGTGTCCTTGGGAATGAGGAATGTAGAGCTATGCCCTACCCTATGCAGCGGAAAAAATCGTCCTCTGTTGCGAGTATATTTTTAAACAATAGCAATTTGATTCATGTGACTTTGTGAACAGCGCTTAATAGCTGACTGGTTAACTTACCACGGGAGGCCCTCCAGGCTGCTTACCCCCCGCTTAGAGACGAGCTTGACATATGGTGTGTGTTCCACTCTGAGGCATAGGAAAGGTGATGCCAGCAGAAGAAAATAATGGGGTTGAGAGAGTGCTGTGGTGGAGGGTTTGTTCAGCTGCATTGGCACTGCTTCTCTGGAAGCTGAAGTGGGATTCCACAGGAAATGCCTACAGGTCACGACAGTTCAGACTTAATGACTCCAATTTAAAATAAAGGTCTAATTTGGCAGGAGCTGCCTGCCTACGGTGTTTTGCTTTGGCACTTTTTTCATATTAAGGCTGGCGTCACCCTCCTGCTCCATACCACTTATCAACATACAGTTTGGGTAGCAAATTTCCCCTTTTTTCTACTCTGGTCTAAATGGGTAACTCCCCCCACCCCATTCTAGTCCGGATAAAGGAGGAAAAGACATTAGCTCTGTCTCAAAACTATTTCTCTGTTCTTCACCCTGACGCTCATTCTTATGTAGGACAAATATTGGCCGGTGTTTATAAAATGATAGTGCATTGCATTTTTCATCTGGGGATCTCAGAGGCTTTACGCTGTTTCTCAAAATGTGTCTGAGGGACACACAGATTGAGTAAAATTTCCAAAACCTCCCAGGTCACTTAGGAGCCAAGTCCCATTTTCAAAAGTGACTTAGGCACTTAGCTGAAGTGCAGCTTCTAAGAGTAAATCTCTAGTTCCTTCCATAAGACAGCCCCCTCCTCTCCTATTAATACCCACCACTGCATCATCTTCCAGACAGGTTTCCTTGAAGGATGAGGACTCATGAGGTCAGATATAGTGTTTGCTTTGTGATAGGGCATTTTGTGCACTGTCTGAGGTACACCGTGTGTTGTGATAGGAATGTGTAGAATCCATGGATCTTGAAAGGTGAGTTGTGGGGGGGTGTTGATCATTGAAGCAGTGGTGAGATATCTGCAGGTTTTGCATCTGTTCTGGCAGTGTCTGGTGCTGCTTTGAGTTGGCGTATCCTGGTCGGTGGGGAGCTTGCTTCTGATGGTGAACTTGGAGAAGTTGGTGGATTGTTTGAAGGCCAGAAGAAGAGATCCAGGAAAGATTTCTTTCAGGATGTGGTCCCTATCGAGAGTGGGTTGTAATTGTTTAATGATACCCCATATGGGTTCCAGCGAGGGGTGGTAGGTGACAACTAGAGGTGTGCAGTCAGAAGGGGTTATATTTCCGTATTAAAGCAGGTTCTCTCGGGCTATTTGGGTCATCCCTCACTTCTGTCCATAGAATGTATAGGGGCTCTTCTTGATTCCAAGCTGGAGGCATATCTCCATCTAGACAGGTTTCAGATCATCACATCCCTAATATCCAACCTCGGGGGAAACCCTACAACAGCAGCAAGAATCTCTGAGAGACAAGGTGAAGGAGGTAATATCTTTTATTGGGCCAACTTGTGTTGGTGAAAGAGAGACGCTTTCGAGCTTACACAGAGACCTACAGTGCAAACATCAAACTATTAGGTCACGTGGCATCCTGTACTTTTGCCAGACTTTGCCTCTGCCTTCTCAAGAGCTGCCTGGGGTCTGTTTTCCAATCAAGCAAACGTCATAAGCACACTTATCTCGTGGCACGAACTACTGTACTAGCTTTTCTGGACTGTTGGACAAGGCCCCAAGATTGTCTGCAAAGAAATATTCTGCACTACTCCCACAGTGACCCTGATTACAGATGTCTCTATAGCAGATTGGGGGACCCGGCTAAAACACCTAGATTCAAAGCAGATGGTTCTGGAAAGAGTCCCCCACCCTCCACATATGGTTGAGATGAATGGCTCAGGGTCCCCGTTTGGAATTCTGGGTGATTTGAACTAGCCTGTGGAGTGTTTCTACTGCTTCTGAAAGGAATCATAGTGGTGCAGATCCTGACAGACAACCCCTCCACAATGTTTTATATTAACAGGCAAGGGGGGTGCCCTTTCAATTCCCTCTGTCAACCAATCAAGCCATCTTCATGGGAAAACGTCCATGGCTCTTCACCTACTGGGAGCAAACAACAATTTGGCACATTACCACAGCAGGCAGTACTCAGCCATTCATCTCAACCGTTCATGAGGGCTCAGTCACTGAAAGACTCCATGCTCAAACCTGTATTCCACAGATGGGGTCCTCCCAGAATTTATCTGTTCGCCACCACCAAGAACAAATGTCCACTATTCTGTTCCAGAGCAGGCCCCAGCGCAGGCTCCTTCCAGGATGCCTTCCGAACCCCTTAGTCACAACCTTCTCTGTGCCTTTGCTCCCATTTCCTTGATACCCAGGATCATAAGGAAAATCAGGTAGGACCTGGCCACAGTAGTACTCAGAGCCCCTTATTGGTCCAGATAGTATTGGTTCACAGACCTACTGCATCTGTCCACATAGCTATTGAGATCTCTCACCGATGTCCTAGATGTACACTCTGAGAATCAAGGACAAATTATTCATCCAAACCCAACATCTTTACATCCAATGGGTTGGAGGTTTGGTGACTGAGCACTACAGACAGCGATTGCTCTGTAGAGGTCCAAGAAAATTCTAATGTAGAGCAGGAAGCCCTCTTGAGACAAGATCAGTCTACAGTTCAAAGTGGAAAGGTTTTTCCATCTGGGCTTCACGACATGGTCTCATCCTTTTAAATCCTATTCCCAGGATTTTGGACTACGTCTTTTTAAGCTATTAGGCCTCACCATTAATTCTGTCAGGGTCCACGTAGATACAATTCTGCTGGTTTGAGAGTCCACTTCTGCCTGGGACTTTAATGTAGTTCTTATGGGCCTCATGGAACTCCCCAGTGAACTCTTATCCAAGTACTCTCCACAGCATTTCATTCTCAAAACCATTTTCGTGATGGCTGTCCCCTCAGCCAGAAGAGGTAGCGAGATTTAAACATTTTATAGACTTTCAGGCCAGAAGGAACCATCATGATCATCTAGTCTGACCTCCTGCATGTCGCAGCCTACAGAGCCTCACCACCCACTCCTGTAATAGTCCCATAACCTCTGGCTGAGTTACTGAAGCCCTTAGATCATGGTTTAAAGACTTCAATTTACAGAGATTTCACCATTTACCCTAGTTTCAACCTTCAAATGAACTGTGCTCCATGCTGCAGAGGAAGCCTCAGTAGCAGATACCCCTTCCACTCTTTTCCATAGAGATAAGGTGTGCGGAGTCATCATCAGAACTTTCTTACCAAAGTGGTGTCTGATTTTCATTTAAAGCAAACCACCAGCTTCGCTGTTTTCTTTCCCCAAACCACATTCACACCTGCGAAAAATCAAGCTCCATCTTCAGATGTTTCCAGAGCCCTTCTTTATCAGTTAGACAGGACCAAGCCATTCAGGAAATTATCCCATTTATTTGTGGCATTGAAGAAGGCTGTGAAAGGTCAGGCCACCTCTTCCCAGATATTATCCAAGTGGATCACTCGGTGCATCACAATTCGTTACCAACTAACAGATATGCCCCTCTCCTCAGGCAGCATCAGGACCCATTCAGCTAGAGGCCATACAATCTCCTCTATGTGCCGAATAAATGTTCCGTATCAGAGTGCTGCAGGGCTCACATACAACTTAGTCCACACCTTTACCAAGCATTATGCCCTGGATTTAGCAACTAGTTCAGATACTAAAGTCAGGAGAGCAGTTCTGCAGTCCTTATTTAGTTAGCTGCAGTAAGTCTTCTCAGACCTGTGTCCTGTTAATCTAGGAACAGCTAACTAATTGTTGTAAGTAGGATCCACATGGACAAAAAAGACTCAAAAAAGAAAGGTCATTTACATAATGGTAACTGTAGGTCTCCAAGGTGTTTCACCCAGGTGGATTCCACAGCCACTCTCCATCCCATCGTCTTCATTATCCAGCTCTCTGGGATTTTGAATTAGCAATGAATCTGAGGGCCACTCTACTTACATGCCCTTGGGTGAGGGGGCACGAGGACATGCAGGACACAATCACAGCCCCAGTGGACAGTGCTAGTCAAAAGATTCCGATCTTGCATGCCTGAAGTGCATGTGCACCATAAGAGGGATCCACACCGACAAAATATCTCAAAGGACCACAGTTAATGTAAGGTAAGTAGCAGGTCAATTTATAGAAGTGGGTTTTGTAGGAACGTGGTGGAGGCCTGTGGGACTGAGCCTGGTAAATTGAGATGTCTCATCACTTTGATATACCATATAAATACTAACCAGACTGCATTGGAGACAATGAACCTCCGCCCCCCCCCCCTTCCTTCGTTGATTTGTGCATCACCAATTAAAACCATGTGTGCTTTGATCTCCCACCAAGAGACAAAGGGCCATGGGGCAGCCATTATCAGTAAAGAGCGGGATTAAGCAAATGCATATCAGGGACACAAGGGATTACAAGAGGGGGAGAAAAGAGCTC